TTTTCTTTCTCTCTCTGGTAGAGTCCTTCCTTAGACTCTTCTAAGTACACAATCATGTTGTCAGTAAATAGTTTTACATTTTTAGCCAGTTGTAGTGGGTATGCTTATAATCCCAGCACTTGGGAGGCTAAATCAGGATTGTGAGTTTGAAGCCAGCCTGGACTCTATAATAGGACCTTGTCTCAAATAAAACAAGAAGAGAAAACTGAGCATGGTGCTTCATGTCCATAATCTCAGCACTTAGGAGACAGAAGCAAGAGAATCAGAAATTCAAGGTCATTTCTGCTATATGTTTGGTTAAAGGTCATCCTAGGCTACATTGGAACCCTGTCTCAAAAAAGAAGGGGAAAAAAAGAATGGGAGGGGTCCAGCTTGGTGGTGTACACCTATAATCCCAACTCTTGGGAGGCAGAGGCAAGCAGATCTCTGAGTTTGAGGTTAGCCTGGTCTACATAGTGAGTTTCATGTCACCCAGGGCTACATAGTGAGACCTTATCTGAAAACAAACAAAAACACAAAGTAGAGTTTTACACTTTCCGTTCCACTTGCCGTTTTGCACATGAGTGATGTGTCGAAGTGGGGGCTTTGCTTTTTTTTTTGGTCTTTTTGAATCAGGGTCTCCCTGTAGCCTCAGCTGTCCTGGAACTCACTATGTAGACCAGGCTGGCTTTGAACTCACAGAGATCTGCCTGCCTCTGCCTCCCAAGTGCTGGGACTACAGGTGTGTGCCACCATGCCCAACTTCTGCTTCTGTTTTTAAAGGAAACTCATTCACTGTTCACTATTAGTATATGTGAACTGAAGCTTTTGTACTTAACGTTTGCCAAGTTGAAGAAGTTTCCTTCTGTTTCTCCCTCACCCCCGCTTCTCCTCTACCTTGCCTGTTTTACTCCCCTCCTTTCCTCAAATCAATTTTGCTATGCATGTAGCCCAAGCTGGCCCTCAATTCTCTAGCCTCCTGAGTCGAATGTCAGATCGTAGAAGACGTTAATGAATACATACTGGAGAGAAATCCTACAGATGTGAAGAATGTGGCAAGACCTTTAGTGAAATGTCAAATCTTAGTGTACATCAAAGAATACATAGTGGAGAGAAACCCTATGGATGTGAAGCATGTGGCAAGTCCTTTAGTTGGGTGTCACATCTTCTTCTAGCACGTCAGCAAATACATAGTGGAGAGGAGCCCTACAAATGTGAAGAATGTGCCAAGGCCTTTACTCATATGTCAACATTTCAATTATATCAGCGAATGCATACAGGAGAGAAACCCTACAAATGTGAAGAATGTGGAAAGTCCTTCAGTTATGTGTCACATCTTAGAGCATATCAGCAAATACATACTGGAGAGAAACCCTACAGATGTGAAGAATGTGGCAAGTCCTTTAGTGAAATGTCAATTCTTAGAGAGCATCAGCAAATACATAGTAGAGAGAAGCCCTACAGATGTGAAGAATATGCCAAGACCTTTACTCATATGTCAACATTTCAATTATATCAGCAGATGCATACTGGAGAAAAAACCTACAGATGTGAAGAATGTGGCAAGTCCTTTAGTCTAATGTCAGATCTTAGAAGCTATCACCTGATATATACAGGATAAAAACCCTACAAATGTGAAGAATGTGGAAAATGTGTCACATCTTAGAGCACATCAGCAAATATATACTGGAGAGAAACCCCACAGATGTGAATATGGCAAGTCCTTTACGGTGAGCTCAACTTATAAGACATAAGAGAATTCATGTTGGAGAGAATCCCTACAAATGTGAAGAATGTAAGAAGTCCTTTAAAAATATGTCTCATCTCAGAGTACATGTAATTCATACTTGAGAGAAACCCTACAAATGTGAAGCATGTGACAAGTCCTTTAGTTGTATGTCAGAGTTAATATTTCATTAGAGAATTCATACTGGAAAGTAACCATTCTGATGAGAAGAATGTGACAAACCAAGAGCTCAGCACATAGAAGACTCCAGAAAATTCATACTGGAGAGAAACCCCACAAATGAAAAGGGTTTGAGAAATCTATCATTTGTATTTCAACTCTTAGAGAACATCAAATAATTTACAATAAACCTAGAAATTGCAATGTAAGGAATGTGGCAATTCCTTTAATTATATGTCAAATGGTAGCACTTATGGGCGTGCGGGTTTCGCGGAGCGCCAGCTGCTGGCTGTGGCACCGGTCTCCCTCGCGCCGCTGGGGGGACATGGGGCGGGTCACGCACCACGTCTGCTGAGACTGTCCGCTACCGGGCCTGGAGGCTCTCGAGGACCGCTGTCAGCTACCCGGTCGGGTTCTGTCCCAGTCTACTGAGCACTCCCTCTGGGTTTGAGATTCATCAGCTGCCAAGTCACGAGGGGAGGTGCGGGACGCGGGCCGGCGAAAGCAGGGTCTTCGTGGGTCGATGACGGAAGGATAGCCCCCCCCCCAGACTGGATCACAGGATTTAGTGTTACAGCTTCAGACAAGTGACTCAGCTCAGATCTCAGTGATTCAGCTCCAGCTTTATTGGGGTAAAACTAGTATTATTTATAGCATGGAGACAGTAGAAAAAGCCTTAGCTGATAGGTGCTCCTGGAATGCTTCATTTACATAGGGCGGTGGGCTTCTATCAGGCTATCAGACAATGCCTGATTAAAACCTGGTAGTTTCTGTGCCGGAGGGCATGTATCTGTGACGGGCATTTCAAGAGTAAGTCAGGGAGGAGAGCAGAAGGCGCCCCGCTGAGAAGGGGAGTCTCCCCATTTGCGCCGAGCCGGCTTGTGGCTATCCGGACATGGGGAGACTGCTACCCTAAACAGCAGGGGTCCCCAACAAGCACTTATCAAAAACTCATACTAAAGAGATAGTTTACAGTTGCTCAGACTGTGGTACATCCTTGCCCTGGGCTCAATCCTTAGAATACAGAATAGATTCCATATTAGAGGGATATGTCTAAAAGTCTGGGAGATATTCAAACACTTATCTATAGTACAAAACTTCATAATGTAGTGAAGGAAAACTTTACAAAATTGCTAATCAAAATTTATTTTTGGTTCATAAGTGTGAGAAAATAGAAACACAAAGAATGTGAAAAAGCCTTCACTTTCCAATCCAATTGTGTTGAATATCACAAAATCTTTATGTATGGAAAATCATGTCAACCACCATTTACAAATGGCTCCTGGTCCCAGGAAATATCAGAGATTTCATAATGAACAGGAACCTCACAAAACTCAAAGATGAATACCTCATTATTTACTGTCAATACACTGTGTGAATAAAGCACCGAATTATCAATGAGTTGACACATACTCTCTAAATAGCATGTGAATATGTGAAAATGTTAATACATATAGGAAACTTGGAAAATCCTAAAGTATATGAAGTAACTATCTTAAGTTGCATATGAAAGGGGGAAAATATCCAAATATCTTTTTTTTTTGACCTTTTTTTTTGAAACAGGGTCTCTCTGTAGCCCCAGCTGGCCTGGAATTCACTATGTAGACCAGGCTGGCCTTGAATTCACAGAGATCCGCCTGCCTCTGTCTCCCGAGTGCTGAGATCAAAGGCATGCGCCACCACACCTGGCTATCCAAATACTTTTTTAGCAGTGGAATTCCATAATAAGTACATTCCCTATAACATGACAGGCTAGAGTATTACAGAAAATTTTTTAAAAATTATGTTATTTCTATATTTTCATCAAATGGTATATATTTTGATAGGCATAACTTTTTTTTCTTTTTGTCTTTTTGAGACAGGGTCTCCCTGCAGCCCCAACTGTCCTGGAACTCACTATGTAGACCAGGCTGGCCTTGAACTCACAGAGATCTGCCTGCCTCTGCCTCCCAAGTGCTGGGATTACAGGCATACGCCACCATGCCCGGCAGGCATAACTGTTCTATTTAGAAACATTTGTTATCAAAATTGGAGCTTTTTGAAGCCATAGGCTAGTCTGACCTTCAGCTACATTTATATTTTCATTGGGTATGATGGCTCATCGCTGTAATTCCAGGACTAAGGAGGGAGAGGCAGGCAGATCTCTGTGAGTTCAATGCCAGGCTGCTGTACATTGTGAGTTTAAGGTCACCTGGGTCTACAGGGAGACCCTGTCTTAAAAGAAAAAAGACCCCCACAAAATTAATATTTTCTAATTTATAAAGGATATTATGAAAATTTATAGCAATTTTTGACTCAGTTGAAGGGATCTATTTTCCTTCAATGCATTAGCAATGTTTTATTAGTTCCAATTGTTCCTTGAATAATTAATGGACAAGGAAAATTTGTCACAGTAGATGTAATTTTTTTTTTATGAGTGAGAATGCATCAAAATGTATCATAGTATGTTATATGTTTGGCTATTTCTACCATAGGAAAAGAAAATGAGAATCCTGAGTAGCCAAAAGCAATCATTTTCTATGACCCACGGGTGAGAATAATCTGTAAAGTATATTAATTTAGTGCTGAATAACACAATAGAAAGAGTGGTTAGATGTTTTCAGTAATACTTGATGTGGTAAAAACAATAAACCAGAGGGGGGGGGAAATAGTGCTTCAACATGTCTGACTCTGAGCTTCTAGAATTTAAAATTTCAGAATGTACTTGACCAAATTATAGCCAATTTTATTGTCATTTAACCTTTCTTGAAACAAGTATTTAGAAACTAGCAACTAACAGGTCTGGTATGGTATCTCGAATGGTAGAGCTATAGTATGTTTTTGTTCATCGAAAGCTTTTTCCTGGTCTGGATGTGTTACTTAGTAGAATGCTTACCCAACATGCATGAAGCCCTGAGTTCCATCTCAGCAGCACATAAATCAGGTGTGGTAGTGCTTACCTATAGTTCTAGCACTCAGGATATAGAGACAGGAATTTCAGAAGTTGAGGGTCATCCTTGGCTATTTAGTGAGTTGGAGGCCTGCCTCAGCTATATGAAACCTCAAAAAAAAAAACAAAAACCTTTTCTATATAAAGAAATTCTATTAACTTCCATCTGTTTCTGTTTCCTTTTAGGTTTAAGTTTTTAAAATTGAAGTAAGTCCACACATTAGGAGCTCATGTCTTTCCTTGTAAGTAAACCAGAGCGGATTAGGGTGAGTGTTTCCATTCTTTGTATTTACTGTTTTTCTTTTCTGAAAAGTAAAGTATTGGGGCATGTATTGTAGGCAGTTTGTATTTGTATGACACTCAGAATTGGTCAAAAGTGAGGGGTATGTGCAGCCTCCACTACTGAGAAAAGAACTTGTAGACAGGGCTGACCAGAAACACAAAATGCGTACTGGCTGCCTGTGAAAAACCAATAGTAAGGATTGCTTATTTTATGAATTAATCAGTCATATATTAAACGAGTTAATTAATGATTTTTTTTTAGTATAGCTGTGTAGCTGGTAATGATTTTCTTACGTCCTGTTTTTCATTGATTTATGTAATTTTTAAATCCATATCAAATTGTAGTTACTAGGATACTTTTTCCTATCAAGGCAGCTGTAAAACCACAGTAGAAGCCACCCATGGATTGATATCTCAGGTTATTAAGGATAAACTGTTTAATCAAATTAACGTTGCTTAAGTTACCACTGAGTACTTTTTCCTGAAAGCTGGCATGTGAAAAAAAAGCTCAAATAACACTTTCAAAACGAGGTACCAAAAATCTTGATTAGAAGAATAAGGTGCTCTGCAGTGTCCTGGATATTAACATGCTTTAATAAAATTTTCTAAAGTGGAAAAAAATAATTATCAAGCTGGGCGTGGTGGCACATGCCTTTAATCCCAACACTTGGGAAGCAGATGCAGGAGGATCTCTGTGTTCAAGGCCAGCCTGGTCTACATAGTTCCAGGCCAGCTGGGTCTACAGGGAGACCCTGTCTCAAAAAGACCAAAAAAAAAAAAAAGAAAAAGAAAATTTCTTACCAGTCTGGTAAGATGGCTCAACAGGTAAAGGTGCTTGCTGCCAAGCCTTATGACCTGAGTTGGATCCCTAAGACCCATATGGTAGAGGGAGAAGACTGACTCTCACAAGTTGTCCTCTGATATCCACACATGCACCATCACACCCACACCCACACTCACACCCAAACATACACGCATGCATACATGCTCAAAATAAGATGCAAAAAAAAATTCACCAGGCGTGGTGTTGCACACCTTTAATCCCAGCACTTGGGAGGCAGAGACAGGCAGATCTTTGTGAGTTCAAGGCCAGCCTGGTCTACATAGTGAGTTCCAGGACAGCTGGGGCTACGGGGAGACCCTGTCTCAAAAAGACAAAAAAAAAAAAAAGCCAAAATGACCTTAAGAACAAATACTTGACTTAGCTTCTTTATAAGCTCCAATGATTTCATTAAAAAGTATCTTGTAGGGGCTGGAGAGATGGCTCAGCAGTTAAGAACACTGACTGATTCTTGCAGAAGATCTGGGTTTGAATCCCAGCACCCATATGGCAGCTAACAACTGTCTGTAACTCCAATTCCAAGGGATCTGACCGCTTCTTCTGTCCTCCGCGGGCATTGCATGACATGGGTGCACTTACCTACTTGCAGGCATAACACTCATACACATAAAATAAAAATAATAAATAAAATATTTTTTTAAAAATGTATCTTGTGGGCTAGCAAAATGGCTCAGTGGGTAAAAGCACTTGTCACCAAGTCTGATGACCTGAGTTTGATCCCAGAGATCTATATATTGGAAGGAGAGAATTGATTCCCACATGTTGTCCTCTGACTTCCACGTGTGCATCTCCTCAACAAAAAATAAGTAAATGTAATAGATTTAAAAAATAGATCTTATTGGGGCTGGAGAGATGGCTCAGTGGTTAAGAACACTGGTTGTTCTTGCAGAAGACCCAGGTTCAAATCCCAGCACCCACATGGCAGCTAACAACTGTCAGTAACTCCAGTCCCAAGGGATTCAACAGCCTCTTTTGATCTCCACGGGCATTGCACGACATGGGTGCACTTACCTACATGCAGGCAATACATGCATACACATAAAATAAAAATAAAAAATAAAATTTTTAGCTGGGTATGGTGGTGCACGCCTGTAGTCCCAGCACTTGGGAGGCAGAGGCAGGCGGATCTCTGTGAGTTCAAGGCCAGCCTGGTCTACATAGTGAGTTCCAGGACAGCTGGGGCTACAGGAAGACCCTGCTTCAAAAAGACCATAAACAAACAAACAAACAAACAAATAAATAAATAAATAAATATTTTAAAAAATAGGTCTTATTTTGTTTATTATCAAGTATTTAATTTCTAAATGCAATAGTGATTATTTAAAGATTTAACAGCATTTTAGTGCTATGAGACATGAGTTTACCACTTTCAAATAAAGTACAAATACTTTATGATATAGTGCATAGAAGTTTTTACATGAAGTTTATTTGGGTTTTTTTTAATTTAGGGAAAAATTGTTATAGAAAAGGACAAGGAATGATGTTAGAATTTCAGTTCACAATGCATATTTTTAATCTTTTTCCTTATGTTTATATATTAAAAAAAAACAAGTTATATTGTTTAAAACAAACCAGTGTTAATTAAAAAGAAAAAGTGAATCTCTCCTTAGCCTGAACTGTGCTCAGTGGAAAGAATACCTCCATGCCAAATTTTACCACCAGTCATTAAGTGAAACAATGTGAATTCCATTGCTTTTAAATATGAGCTACTTTCCTGTTTTAACCTGGACTGATTCAGGTGAAACCAGACCACCGATTAGTATAGTGGAAATCTAACACCCATTTGAAATAGACTGATGAGGTGAACTGTACATGGATACTACTGGTTTGGTCCTTGTGAACTTGATGGAAAGTAAGTCTTCAAAAATCCTTGTGGTTGTCACTTCAGCAGCACATACCCAGACTAAGGTGACACAGAGAAGATTAGTATGCCCTCTGAGTAAGAATCACATGCAAGTTTTTGAAATATTCTATATTTTTATATGTAAGACGTGAATGTAGAAGGGGAACCAGTGGGACAAGAAGAGGGTATTGGGACAGTGAATAAGATCAAAGTATGTGACATACATGTAGCAGAATGTCACAGTGAAACCCATCTTGTACAGTGGAGAAATACTAATTTTTAAAAAGAGGCAGGCACAGGACCAACTTATCTGTAGTTCAGCACTCAGGGAGCTGAGGCAGGAGACTTGCTGAGAGTTTGAGACCAGCCTAGGCTACAGAGCATGACCTTGTCTCAAAATGATAAAAACAAAACAGAAGAAAGACCTGTGGAGGTGTGTTAAAACTCCTTTATTCCTGTTTTCTAAGTGTTGAATTCTAATAATATTTTTCAAATAGGCATTAAATCTGTAAAGGCTAGCCACTGGAATAAATAAGCTGGAATGTAAAGATAGACTTTGTATATAGGAAAGAAAAGGAAAGTTTCATGAATAGGGTCGGTCCCATGTATTTCTCTATCTCATTTAAGTACCAGTCATCATTTTGCCTAAGATTAAAGACTGAAAAAGGAATTAAGCTATTGTCTTTAGCTAATTTCAAGACTCTTTTCAGCTTTTCCATGGAATTAGATCCTAGCTGTATTACTTTTGCTTTTATTTTTGTGGGGATTTGTGATGTTGTCTGTCTAAAGGCTGATAGCTAATTTATTCTGGCTTGGAAGATATACTAATTCTCTTTGGGGTTTTCCTCTTTAGCGGTGGGTCTCGGAAAAGTTCATTGTTGAGGGCTTAAGAGATTTGGAACTATTTGGAGGTAAGTACAGTGTGGCACTTAGCCACCATTTCAGGAAAAATATCACTATTCTTTTGTTGACTAGATGAGTATAGAAATGAGCAGTTTGAAGAGTAACTGTAAACTGTAGTTATTAGAGTCACTTGTGAATTTGTGGTGTAACCTAGCAGTTGTCCGTGGCCCATCCTGATTATTAGAAAGCCAGTACCATGTTTACTTAAGGTATATTTGTTTCTTCTAAGAATTTGTCCAGTTGAAATACATATTGTTAAATGAAAATAACTTCAAAGATCTCTAAGGAAGGCCTGGTGGCAACAGCCTATAAACCTAGCTACTTGGGAGGCTGAGGCAGGAGCATTACAAGTTCAAGGCCTGCTGTAACTACAGAGTAAGTTCAAGACCATCTTGGGCAATTTACTGATACCATGTCTCAAATTGCAAAGAAGGGATTAGAGGGATGGCTCAGCAGTTAAGAGCACTTGCTGCTCTTTCAGACGACCAGGGTTCAGTTCCCAGCACCCACACAGTGCATCACAACTACCTGTAGCTCCAGTTCTAGGGGATCTGATGCCCTCTTCTGACCTTCACAGGCACCAGGCACATACAGGGTATGGTGACATACATGCAGGCAAAACATCCATACACATAAATAAAAATAAATAAATTTGAAAAAAAAACAAAGCAAAAGGACTGCTGGGAGCATAGCTCAGTGGTAGAGCATTTGCCTGGAACTCGGGATTCAAGCTCTAGTACTACACACACTAAAATAATGATTTTAAAAAGTGAAATAATAAGCTGGGTGTGGTGGCGCACACCTTTAATCCCAGCACTCAGGAGGCAGAGGCAGGCAGATCTCCATGATTCGAGGCCACCTGGTCTACATACAGAGTTCCAGGTCAGCTGGGGCTACAGGGAGACGCTATCACAGACAAAAAAAAAAAAAGTTGTACATTAAAGCTGGGCAGGGCGGTGCATGCCTTTAATCCCAGCACTCAAAAGACAGAGGCAGGGCCATCTCTGAGATTGAGGCCAGCCTGTGCTATGTAACTAATTCCAGGCCAGCTCGGACTTAAATAGAGCTGGACATAGTGATGTCCGCCTTTAATCCCAGCACTTAGGGAGGCAGAGATCAAGGCTAGCCTGGTCCACATAGCAAGTTCCAGGCCAACTGGGCTATAGGGAGATCCTAATGCAGGAAAAAGAAATTAAGCCTTGGCAATGATAGAAATTGATTTATAGGGCTGGAGAGATGGCTCAGCAGTTAAGAACACTGGTTGTTCTTGCAGAAGACCCAGGTTTGAATCCCAGCACCCACATGGCAGCTAACAACTATCTGTAACTCCAGTCCCAAGGGATCCAACAGCCTCTTCTGACCTCTGTGGGCATTGCATGACATGGATGCACTTACCTATATGCAGGGTAATACACGCATACACATAAAATAAGAAAAAAAAAAAGAAATTGACTTATAAAGCTGGGCATGGTGGCGCATACCTTTAATCCCAGCACTCAAGAAGCAGAGGCAGGTGGATCTCTGAGTTCAAGGCCATCCTGGTCTACATAGTGAGTTCTAGGCCAGCTGGGGCTACAAGGAGATCCTGTCTCAAAAAAAAAAAAAAAAAAAAAAGGAAGAAATTGATTTATAAGTTCAGTTTAGTGAATTATTCACAAATATCCCAGTATATGTAACTTAAATCAATGGATTCTTTTATTCATTTCCTGATTATAGGATCTCTGGCTTTTTATTGTTGTTGTTTTGGAGTTTTATGAGACAAAGTCCCCCTGTAGTCCCAGCTGGCCTGGAACTTGCTATGTAAACTAGGCTGGGCTTGATCTCACAGAGATCCATCTGCCTCTGCCTCCTGCATGCTGGGATTAAGGTTGTACATCATCCCACCGTGCTGACTTTTGACAGTATCCTAGTCTGTGGTCTGAGGAAGGTAAAGAGGTTATTATATGTGTTGTTACAGCTTGGCAAAGCCAATAATGCCAAGTCTTAATACTATTTGGAATTTGCCTTCTATTATGAAAGATTGAACTATATTTCATTTAACTACCACTCGGCTTCTTACCTTTGACTGATTTTCATAAGCAGCTGCTGCTGTTTGTATGGCAGCATACA